CAAAAAGTTCATGGAAAAATAGAATTAAAAGAGAATATGAATCTTTCCATGAACTTTTTGAAGACCCCTCTTACTTATTACTGTTATTTTTAAAACCTAGGGACTTAGGGGTCCCTACTATTGTAATTACGTAATTTTTTTTCTGGAGATCCTTGACAGTACTGCTTAGTTGTAGCATCAGAGACAGCTATCTTGCTTAGAAGACAAACTCTATTGAGTGATGATTATAAGAAGAATGAATATCATCTTATTAACTTTAGATATTATACTATAATCACAGTAATTTTCTTTTTTTGTTATTGTTTGTTTTTTACTTTAATAAGTTGGTTACTAGGTTCAGTTTAAAAAGTATATTAAATAGACTTTTGACTTTCAAATTGTGCATCTCAACCCAACATTTGGCATTCATGCTTTAAATCATATTTATAGCCACTAAATCCAGCATTGAATGACTAGTGCCTACCAATTTTCTAACTGTGTTTCATTTCAATCCTTCTTTTAGGGAATAGAAAGTTATGTGGCAGATAAAGAATTCCATGCACCTTTAATCATCGATGAGAATGGTGTCCATGAGCTGGTGAAAAATGGTGTATGAAGCAGATACCAAGTTCTACCACAATAGCAACAGCTTTTATTTTTGATAGACCAACTGTGAACCTCTCCTGCAAGACTGAAGTTTGAATATCCAGAGTTTGTTTGCTTGTTGAACTCTTATAACTATTACAAACTTCTGAAGATCCAGATGATTGAACTTCAGATAGCATTTTTATGATTCTCAACTCATTGAAGGTCTTATTTATATTTTTCAATTGTATAATTTTTCCCCAAGCCAAGGAATACATTGGCCATTCAGGAAATTTCCTACATCATAACCATAGTCAGGATGTTCAACATCACTTTACTTGGAGCTGGAAGCATTTGTTTTTGAAGTTGTACATAGTGATAATATATCATTNTTTTTCCCCAAGCCAAGGAATACATTGGCCATTCAGGAAATTTCCTACATCATAACCATAGTCAGGATGTTCAACATCACTTTACTTGGAGCTGGAAGCATTTGTTTTTGAAGTTGTACATAGTGATAATATATCATTGTACATGTCAAAGGGTTTCTATGGTACTAAAAGTTTGTTTATTTTATCAAACATTAAACTTTTTTAAGAAAATAATTGGGCAGTAAAATAAACTTATCCTCTTGTTTCTGGATTGTCATTTGTATCTTAAAAAAATTATTTCATTGGGAAAATATGAAACTTGGGAGAAACTTCGAGGTAATGCATAGAAGTAAATCGACTCTTCTGTGAGGTTGCAGAGTCATAGAGCTTTCTTTAATGAATATTTAACTTTGGGCTTTATCTTCCTATCACTTTATAATAGTGGCCCTCAACCAGAGTTGATTTCACCCTCAAAAGAGCATTTGGCAATGTCTGGAGACATTTTTGGTTGTCACAACTTAATAGGATGAAATGGTACAACTGGCATCTAATGGATAGAGATCAGGCATGTTGGTAAACATCCCATAATGCACAGGACAGCCTCCTATAAGAAAGAATTATCTGGCTCAAAGTGTCAATAGAATCAAGGTTGAGAAACCTTGTTTAAATCGTTCATTTACTCTCTTTTGTTTAAATATTTGGCAGCACTTAGTAATTCAAAAGTATATAGTTCCTGGATTTCTTTAGACAAGTTAATCACTAACACTCCTGTTTTTTCCAGCTAGAGGATTAAAAAGAAGAAACAAAAGGTGGTTTTTAAAATATGGTTCATAGATAATTGGTTATTATGAAGGGTTCTTTGTGTTTACAATGAGTTTGCATGAAAATATTGAGCTTTATAAATGCACTTTATATAGTATTTATGTACTGACCAAAAGCATAAAAAGTAATGTCTGGACAAATGAAAGTCTCTAAAAATTATACCCAGAGAAGTGATTAATAAAATTTTATTTTCCTTTAACAGATCATCTCAAGATGGGATGTCATGGGTGGGTCTTTTGTTTAAGGATCAAAATATTTTTTTTAAAGATCATCTGATATTTATATCTATCTATATCTAAATTTATATATATTTTTGTACTAAGACCTTAATAATGCATCTAGCACATTTCTGGTTTTATCTTATTTCAGTAACAGCCCAATTTCGCTATTGTTATCTGTTCAGTTTTTCAAAATGATTTGTAATGTTTGAGTTCTCATTGTAAGGGGCTCCCAATGGAATAAGAACTGATGGAGTTTGGATGCATTGTCCTTCCAGAACTCATGGAAATCTGATCTCCAGTGTGGCAGTTTGAGTCATGGGGGTGGATCCCTCATGAATGAATTAGTGCTTTCCCTATGTAGGGGAGTAATGAGTGAGTTCTCGGCTCTATCAGTTCTCGCCTCTATCAGTTCTCGCAAGAGCTGGTTGTTTAAAGAACCCTGGCACCTTCTCTCTTCCTCTCACCATGTGATCTGCTTGTACCCACTGGCTGCCTGCCACTTTCCGCCATGAGTAGAAGCAGCCTGAGGCCCGTGCCAGATGCAACTGTCCCAGAATCGTAAGCCAAATAAACCTCTGTTCTTTATAAATTACCCAGTCTCAGGTATTCTGTTATAGCAGCACAAAACAGTCTAATACAGGGACAGAACAGCAGTTTTTAGCACTTGAAAGGGGTGATTCCTCTTCTTTTTCCTAAGCCTTCATCTGCTATTTCCTCTCGCCCTATCTTTAAGATCACACCAATAGTGCCAAGGAAGTGGAGGAATGGAAGCGTGGATTATGGTAGTGATTTTATTGAAGAGGAGCAATGGCTAGAGAACATTGTGTAGATTAAGGGCAAAGAGTCTGAGCCATGAGATTAAAAAGCATTATGTATCTTTATGAGTCCTTGTTAAATAATTGTTCTAATTTAGAAAATACAGAGTTGGGTAAAATGTTTATAAAAAATGAATTAGAATCATTTGGCAATAATGTGATAGAATATATGTGGGAGTTAATAGTCACTTCGAGTCTGGTCAAATCACACCTGGTACATGTTAATAACTTTACTGATAGTCACAAGGAACAAATAAGCCCAATGGGTGTGCTTAGTGACATCTACTGGAAGATAAAAAATTTCATTTTCACTTTTTAACCCTTCTATTCCCAGAAGTTTTGGAGGTATTAGTGATATGTGATTTCGTTTCTAACCCTGGCTTACTATCTCCAGTGTTTCCTCTTGATTCATCATGGTACAGTCAGATCTCAGTTACTCAGGTAAAAAGAGGCAAGGAAAACTCATTCATAATCTAGGAGACTGACTAAAATACAAATCATTCAGTTGGAGTGGAAATTGATTTTCTATTGTCTGAAACTGATGTTTT